CCTGTACAGCTGGGATCTGGATTTAGTTCACCATTACAGGTCTTAAATATCATCAAAAATGCATGAATATCTAGTGTGGATTAAGAAGGGGGATGCGAAGGAGATGGGGTGTAAGAAGAGACAAGTCTGTGGCTGGCAGTTCAGAGGAAACAGAAGAAATGCACAAAAGTGGGAATGTAACTGTAATACATTTTGAGAAAAAAGTAGACAGTGAATACATATATATATATATATATATACACATATATATGTATATATATATGTATATGTATATATATATATATCTCCATGCTTGGAGGAGATATACTTGATCTGTGGGGCCATATTGTCTTGGGTAAGTATTTGCCTATCTGTGCATCAGATTCTCACCTCTGAAGGGAAGATAATGGATTTTTACAGTCTCTTAATCATGGTGGTGATAGGCATTAAAAGAATTAGAGCAGACAAAGTGCTACTAATACAAAATAAATGATGAATGCCAGTGAATCTGCTGCAGATGTCACTGAAGGGATTGTGCACGCTGGAGGACCCGAATATATTTTTACATATTTAAAGATTACATATGTAAAATAGTATTTGTACTCACTGTGAGCGCACATGACTTTTTACAAACTCTTTTTTTCTGTAAGTGGCTACAGCAATATTTTCCCTGCTATATTTCTTTCCCAGCCCTTCATCACAAGGCCGGGAAAAACATTCTTGTGTTTTACAGAAAATGACAGGAATACAGTAGACTTCGGGAAGATTCCATCACATCATTATTCAGGATGCCGTAAGCACCCAGGGAACTGGGAGGAGCCAGATGGACTACTTGCTCCTTCCATCCGGAAATATATAAACTGATGTTAGTCACCCTGCCAGCAGTCATCCTGCAAGTGTAAGGCTAGTAACTTGGTGCTAGTAACTTGGCCTTCTTAAATCAATGAAACATAGTCTGTGACTTTGAGAACTTGGCAATATAGTTTGGAAGACAAAAACCAGCGATTGCTGAACAATGTTCTGGGAATAAAACCATGCTGAGCAGTGAGACAATGCCATTGAAACTGGGAGATGGTTTCTCAATGGGGATAGGTCTGAATTTAAATGTTGAATTTAAAATGAATGTAGGTGTTAAATAAATGAAGGAGATGCACTATCCAGAAAATGGCAGGAACAACTTACTGTGTTCCGCTTCAGAAATTGTCAATGTTCACAGCAGGATCAAAGAGAGACTTGTAGAAGATAAGACCAGAAATCTTGACAGATTTCAATGCTCTAGGGTCTAGAATACCAGGCAGGAGAGTTTGAAGCACTGTAACTTTTCAGGAAGAGGAAGACCAAATGCAAACCTAAGACAGTAACAGTTATTTGAGATGAATTGGAAGTTCACCAACTGGTGGTAGAGAGGCCCGTAGACAGGTTAAGTCAACAGCCTAGGCCATGCTCCCTAAGGACCTAGAGGAGGTGCATCCCTGCGGAAGGGAAAGTTTTGAGGTTCTCTCCAGAGAAATGATACATAGCTTGATGTCTGTTGAGTGTGTGGAATTCCCAGATGGAATGACTGTATGTAAGCTCCGGCCATTGCTAAGGTAGGATATCGTTGAGAGAAACATTTGAGCTAGCATTTGCCAACATTCCTGACAATTTTCCTCTGTGACAACAAAAAAGAATCAAGTACATATTAGTTAGGAAACAAAATTATCAAAAAGGCCATGTCCTCTGGTGGGGAGAAGAGGACAAAGCAAATGTTAGAGACAGTGATGGGAGACACAACATGTGGCTTGTCTTCAACAAGACCTTAGCTCCTTTCCCACAGCCATCATCACAGAGACCTTTGGGGGATACGCTGTACTGGGAGAAGACAGCTACAGAAACCCCAAATGAGTTGGTGGATAATCTGGGAATCTTACAAATATTCCATGAAGGGATGAAAACAGCCTCCTTTATTTCAGCAGCGATGAACCCAAAGTCAGCTTAGCAGAACCCTGGGAGGCCACCGCTCTCTGGTTCCCACGGTCTAGCTCACCAGTTTGTACATGCTGTTGCCTTGACTGAACTCGTGGAGTGGGAACAAGGACCTTTCACCTACTTGTTTCCTCCCAGAGGGGAAGTAGGAACGTGAGGAGGACCATGGGCTCAATGCCTGTTTCCAGCTGTGGTCCTGGCTGTGTATAACTCCTACTGGCTGAATGACTTCACTTTGGTGTGTAATGCACTCTCCCCCCACCCCCCAGTAGCAGTAAGTTCAAACCATAGAGTTTAGGGTACTTTTTATCATTTTAAATCTTTATTTATATATCTGTTTATTTACTGTTCTAGGAATGGTACCAAACCTGGCAAGTTTAGAGAACAAAAAAGGGCCAGAAAAGTGACTCTTAGAGGGAAGCTGTCCTTGGTATCTAATGCTTGTTTTCAAAATGTACTTTTGACAAGATCTGAAGAGAATTCCCGCTTGCCCTAACTCAGGAAAGACATAGGAAACCACAGCAGCTGCTTAGTACTCCAGCCAACACATGCCCTAAAATGGATGAGTGGTTAGCATTTTGTTGTTTCAGCGGAGGCACCTTTGATTCCATCTCTGTTTCCTGTTCCATACCTCCATTTCCTTACCATGGTACTTTTTCTTTCCTCTTTCCTTTTTTGCTTTATTTGTCTTATCCTTTTACCTCTTCTCTCCATTTTCCACTTCTTCCTGGGACGCTTCCTGTACTTCCTATGACTTCCCTTTCCTCTTTCCCTCTACCCTTCTTTCTCAACTAGAGTAACGAGACATGAGCTCTGGATGGGGAATGCTGGGTTTGACTCACCCTCTACCACTTTTCTTGGTATATGCTACTGGGTGAATCTCAGAACTTTCCTGTATCTAAGTCTTCCCATCTGCAATGGAAAGACACTAATACAATCCTACTCTGGGGGTAAACAGGATAATGTAGAGCATTTAGCATCTACTTGCCCTATAAAATAGAATTCATGATACGAATGTAGGATGAGACCATTATCTTTTAGGCTTCTATGGAAACATATCATCGCTTCAAGCATTATTCATCTGTATCAGCCATAGAAACAGACTTTCATATTTGTTCTCTGTTAGCTTTTTGCATATGCAGTCTAAAATATTGGATTTGAAAGGTAAAAGGTTACCAAGTCACCTCATCGAAATTTTTCCATATTCTAACAGAAAGGACAAATGCAAGTAATTTTCTTTCTCATGTTATTTCTATTTCTATGCACCATCTTAGGCATAAAAGAAGCAAAACAATATGGACTAAAATAACAGGAAATTTAATTGACCATCTTGTGCTTAAGGACTTAAACAGATACCTGGTTTAAGTCCAGCCTCTGAATGGATGACCAGGCCTTCTCAGCCTCTACACTACCAGCTTTTGCAGCTGGCTGTTCACATCAGTTAGCTGACTCAACTAGCTGACCCCATTTGCCAGCATGATTTCTTGTTTCCCATGTGTTTAGCCTGGGCGTCAGTATAGCTGATGTTCCCTTGATGGTAGTTCTTTTTTTTCTTTGTATCTTTTCTTTCTTCTTTCCCTATTTCTCTTCTTTTACTTTTTTGTCATCTACTTAAAGTTTTAAATCTCTAAAATTGGCAACAGGCATATTCAGAATACAGCTAGAGCCCCACTGGGGAGAATTCCCCCAGCAAAGTCTAGATTCTGTTTTTAGACTGTCATCAAGATAAACAAGGCGTCTTAATCTACACATCTGAGCCTCTTTACCCAACCCCTGACCCCCCCCCAGCCCTGCCACATACACAGAATAATAGCATCAGCATAGGGTCATGTTTAAAAGATAATCTTAGAATTGATCTAAGTCGTAGTGCTGTGATGGAATAGACAAGAATCCATGCACTCTAACTACCAAAACTCTTCTATCTTATGCCTGCACCATCTGGAATGTATAGCCTGGGAAACTGCCAGCAAAGGGGAAAGGGACAATAGAGAATATACTTTGGCTCCACTCTTTATCCCTATGATTGCAAGTGACACCTTGGGGCCGGTGCATGAAAAAGAGAGCAGAGAGATCTCTGTCTGGGTTTGGAGAGCGGAGAGTACAAACACTTCGTATAAATATTTATGAGAAACTTGGGTTCCTTCATGTATTTTCCTGAGTATAGGACCCAAGGTTTCTGCCAGATTTTAAAAAGCATTATGACTTGAAAAAAAAAATGTCTGCAATCATCTCTGCCTACTGCCCTGAGAGCACAACCTTTAAAACAGGAAACAAAAAATCCAGGAAACGGGAGTCTTATGACATGATAAATCCCTGATTTCAGATGTGAGCATTCTGTCCTCTTGGTCAGAATTCACAAAGTGCAAAGACAACACTGAGTAGCTGCAGCAGGAAGCTCCCTCCTAGACACCTCTAGGTACCTTCAGCCTCCTCAGCTTCTCCACAACTTTTTTCACTCTGTCAGGTAATTGAAAGTAGACAGCTGCTCAGAAGGGGGACCCTATCCTTAAAAGCCTAAGGAATCCAGAAACCCTAAGGCTTGTACAAGTCACCCTAAGACTTGGGAGGTCAAGACAGGAGGATCACCATGAACTTGAGCCCAAACTAGTCTTCATAATTAAGTTACAAGCCAGTGAACTACAAGTGGGTGAGAAAACCCCAGTTGTTGTTGTTGGTTTGGTTTCCTTTGGTTTGTTTATTTATTTATTTATTTATTTATTTATTTTGGCGGTGGTGTTTTGTTTTGTTGTTGGTTTGTTTTTCTGTTTTTTTTTAAGTTTTGGGGAATTTTCTCCCCTCCCCATCCCACCCCAATTGAAGACCTGAAGAACACTAAAGCTGCCTAGTCTTCAAACCTAGAGCAGCCTGGAGCCTGTGAGCAGAAGCAAGCTGAACAGTGAAAGGGGCCAAAACCTAAACAATACAGCTTCTACTTTCCTTCCTGGGGTTGACAGGGGAGGGATAAAAGACTGTATCAGTCATTTTCTAAAGGCATTCTGTATCCTGCTGTTTCTCGCAGCATGCCTCTCTAGATCATTAATGTGTTTCCAAGCATATTGTTTTATAGGAAGCATTTATTTACTGGTATCATAAGATCTGTGTGTTTCATTGGAAGCATCAGCATCGAGGCCTACAAAGCACATAGCAGAAACAGACATGCATACGGAAGGAGCATTCCTTGCATGGACCAACAGCAGGCAGGCTCACCGTACCAAAGAGCGATGGAAATACAACTGAAAACACACTCAAGATGTATTACATAAAATAATTTACTTCTCATTCGGAATGACTTTCCAGACCTATTTGTGAGACAGCAGTCTGTGAGTACAGGTACAATCTCAAAGTCATGATAATATTAGGGCAAGACCAGAGAGTGATGCAGACATGATCGTGAACTTGTGTATAACAAAAAGGAGTTAGGAACACTGATGGGGAGCTCTGGGGACATTACAAGCAAGACTGTCAAGGGAGACAAGACGAGTACCGTTAGAAAACTGATGTCTTCGATATGATAAGACTTGGATACACACTATTCCAGTGTCTTCACTTTGCAGCCCGATACATTGGCTTACTAACCACAACGGTGCTCGTGCATGTTATTTACACTGGAGCAATGACTGCAGTGTTGCACAAGTATGTGTGTGCTCCCAAAGGCAGTACGTTGAGAATAATGAGAAGAAAATTACTTCTTGGGCACTCATTAATAACTCGGGTAATATCCTGTACCTCCATTTATAAAACAATGCAATAATAAAAACATTGTACAAAACATCATAAATAACACAAATGAGAAATTTTCAAGTATTTCACGTGCCTTGAAAAGCTCCAAACAGTAGTCCTCTCCTCTTCTTTTCCCTTTTCTCTTTCTTTTTTCTTTCCTCTCTCCTTTCATTGGTCTCTGCTAGCCTTGGTGTTTGGGATGGGATGAACAAGCTCTTACTTCAAAGCAGAAAACCAAAAAGTGCTTTGCAGTTCATTAGAACTTACTTCCTCCTGCTAAAATTTAACCTTTCCCCCTGATGATGCTTTACAAATGTAGGCATGTAGCTTAGAACAACTGCAGGCAGCCATGGTTCCTAAAGTGAACAACCAACCACAGTGAACTAAAGAGGCTCATCTGACAGGTGACATTCTTGGGGGTTAGGAATAGGAGAGCACCTTATCAAGAGAGGAAAGAAATAAGATAATCTTTAGGTCCTCTGCCCTCATGTAAGCAGTAGTCCTTGGTAGGGCTAGACAGCAAGGCCTGGACCCAAATTGCATTCCTTCATTCAGCTCAAACATCCAGCTCCAGACCAACCCAACTGCTAATCAGCATGCCCCGAGCACCCGGGCAAAGGAGGGAAGGCTGTCAGCATAGGGACTTAAAAGTGCCAGTAGCGATCACTGATGCAAGTCTGTTCTGTGTCAGTCAGACAGCAGAGTTTTCAGAGTACTCAACCTTTAACTACTTTAGCTTAATGCTCAATGTGGAGGCCATCAGTGATTAAACACAAAGGCCCTAACTACTCTCCATCATGACCTAATGGTTTTACAGAACTTGTTTCTCACAAGTTAGTGTTCTTCTCTTAGCCTGCATGGCAGTTAATTTAGTTTGCCCTGTTCAGACATGATATGAAGGACCAGAAATCAGAACATGCATGCAAGCATGTGTGCACACTCCAATTTGAGCACCTAGGATCTTTCCCATCTTTTCTTGAAGAAATGTATGTGCGAGTGTGAAAATATATGCATATATATTCATGCACATTCACACACATATTGAATACATAGATATGATATATACAGAATGTATATGCATATGTTATATATATTGAATATATACATATACATACACTAATATCAACTAAACATTGAGAGTCCGTAGGAAGTGCTGCTGGCCGACATTGCATGTGCATATGTTGTCACATGAAGTGTACCAACTAACTAACTTGAGGTCAAACTGTTGGTTGAAAATCCAGACCTACAGGGCCATTATTTGGAGACTTGCTCACCTGACACCCTTAAGAAAACTTGGGAAAATTGAAAACAAATTGGGTCTTACCCCAGTGAAAACCCCAACACCACAACTAAGGCTAGTTTTACATGGAAGTGGCTCACACACGGCAGGCAGCATGGACACTAGGCTACGATGTGGATAAAGCATTGGTGCTTAATACAGATCAATATTTGGCCTCAGGTTTTCCAGAACATAGAGTCTCGGCATTTTGGCTCTCTGCCTCTGTGTGAGAATTAGGCACACTGAGGGACTAGGGAAGTGCAGTCTGCAGAACTCTTGGCTCCTTTCGGCTTCTCTGCCCTGCAACTGGAAGGATTGGTCAGGTCAAGATAGAATCGAGACTTGAGGAAGCGGCGGTACGAATCCTTTTCCATCAGGTTGAAAATCTTCTTCTGGGCTTCATCGAAACAGGTTATCGTGGGCTCTAACATGTTCCGGCTTGTCTCCTCTCTGGTGCAAGAATCCAGGTTCACCTGAAGTGCAAAGACAAAAGTTGCATTAGATTTAAGGCCCTGATGGAGAGAGGGGGCTGCAGGCTTGTATTCAACAAGGAGTAGCTGGGACCCTTTCTTTAACTTCCTCCTGGTAGTCAAGCCCAGGACATTTGGGTGTGCCCTGGCATATGTGTGTAAAAGGTCCACTCTGCCTCTAAGTGGAAAGAGAACTTTCTTTTCTCCCATTGGCAAGTTTTATGATTATAGTTATTAAGGAGAGTCATTGAGATCATATAGACAAAAGTAGATTTTTTTCTAATAGACTAACTTGAAATGTTGTCAAAATTATAATAGCCAGTCCTGTTGTTCCTTTAACTCGTAGATCTGATCACTGGCCCTGAATGCCTCTCCTATGAATCCCCACTAAATTCTAGGAAGTTCTCTGCCATGGAAGTGTACCTCTTTTGTTGCTTGCACCGAGATGAACTCATTGTAAATCTTCTTGGCCTTGGGACTTAGTTTCGAAGGTGACTTGATTTTCTTGTACTCCTCACAGCTGATCCAGAAGTCAATGTTCTCCTCACTGTATTCTGACTTCAGGAAAGCTTTGAAAGCTGCCAGTCCACCTGTGACAGAGGACAAAGAGCCATAGTTACCCAGAAAAGGATTGTCTTATGCTGAGTAATGCTATCTTCAGTGTGTGTGTGTGTGTGTGTGTGTGTGTGTGTGTGTGTGTTTATATGATGATACAGAGATAGAAAGAGAGAAGTATGGTTACTTACATTCATGGTGAATCAGGTTTTCCAGTGATTCAGCCCATTTCTTGACTTCTTCTTGGCTAACCCTGGAGATATTACAGAAGAAAGAATGATTTAAATACATAGCATAGACTTAAAAAAAATTAAGGCAAAATGTGATATATTGTTTATTAGGATAGTTTTTAATGACATATGTAGAGATTCAGATTCTAATTATGATTGACATAAACTGGACTCTGTCGTCTATATGTCTATGTCTCTTCACCCTCATGTGTGTGTGTTTGTTTGATATAATATCATTTTTATAAATCTCAGGCTAGTCTTGAACTCACGGCCCTCCTAACCTTCCAAGATTACAATTGTGTACCCTTCCCTTGGAAATGAGGTCATCATGACCCAAATCTGGCTCAGCTAAGGACTTGTCTTACCACTCACTCTTTACATACAGCATACAACTTCTCTCTCATCAAAGTTAACACTCAAAGGCTCTTTGCTAAAGCCATTTCTCTTACCTCTGGCAAGTTACTACTTTGTCTTTCTTGCTGTGTGAAGAACTGTGTTCACATGAATCTGACTTCTGCAGCAGGAATCCCAGCCGGTGTTTCATATCCTTTGCACTGCAAGGAAGAAGACAAAAATTAGCATGAAAAACACATGTCCTTAAAAGAGACACATGAGGGCTCTTAAGAGTCCTCCATGACTGCTATGTGGATTAGAAGCAGCCTCTTTAGGGGAGCGGCAGTGAGTTGAACGCCCAGAAGAGATTCCTTTGATTCTGCATATGATCTTTGATATCTTTAGTGAAAGCATGTTAAGAAGTGACTGCTATTTTGAAATGTATGCAGTAACTGCAAAACAGGAGCCTATAGGACACCTTCTGGCAGCATGGTGCTATTTCTAAAGATGAGCAGTGGAAGCATTTCAATAAAGTAGAAGTGAGTTCAATCAGCCCTGACAGTGGTAGCCAAGGAGTTCCCAAGGGTGTGTGCGTGTGTGTGTGTGTGTGTGTGTGTGTGTGCACAGCATCAGGTTAAGTGTGTAGCCCTGCAGAGAGGAGCAGAAAAAGTGAATGGTACAGGAGCTCAGGCTAACAACTCAGCCCTACCAGGCTTGTTTCTAGGCAACCTCCAGCTAGAGCTACAAACAAACAACCCCAAATCTACATTACAGGAAGATGCACATTAAAAGGGGCAGCTGAGACTTTGGGATAGGAGAAGCAAGCCAGAGTCAAGGCTGAGGCAAGTTATTGTTTAATTAGAGCAGTTTCCAGTTTCCAGCCTCCACTTAACAGGCAGCCAGGGTACCACAGAGTTTCTGACTACTTGAAGCTTCCAGTTCAACTCTGTCATTCTTTCTTAATAGATTTTTTTTAATATTGCTATTCTCTCTTTTATTATAAAAGCCAAGAAATGGTTTAAGAACAATGATGTTACCAGAGCAACAGAGGATAAGATGTTTTTGCCTGGAAGGGTTGGCAAAGAATGCTCAGAAGCACCTTAGGATGGATGCTGATGTGCTGGGAGCTTATCAGTGGATTTTCTCAGAATGTCAGAATTCCACCGCTATTCTTGGGCTCCCCTTTAAGGTAGTACTTTTCCATCTCTCACAAGGCCATCTTCCTTTCTCTTTTTCCCCAGCTGGTGACTAGTGACAAGATCCTCCCCAGTGGCAGCAAGATAAAAATCATCCGAAATTGGGATGGTCCTAAGGCAATGCTATGATGCATTGTAATCCAGCCCAAAGAGATATGATTTCCTGTCTCCATGTGCTGCCCCTGCCTGAGCCCCGACAGCTATTGACTAAATGAAGGGGTATTTCCAAAGAGCTGGAAGCATGCTTGGAAAATATCTTGTAACACAACAGAAGCCGAAAAATAAAAACCAAAGTTACTTCAGAAGTCCCTGGAGATAAGTAACCTGGTCATGGTTCTTCCACTGCTGCCACCAACCGTGTGACCTTGAGCAGATAAGACCCTCTGGAGACCCTGGCACTGAAGATGAAAGCTGCTTCACCCTTTGGGGGCAGACTCAGTAACACACAAGCACTGCACTTTTGGGGATTGTTTCCAAATTGAGATTTATATCTCCAAGGATGGTTAGGGAGGTTTGGTAGACTCACAGATGACTTCTGACCTTTAATTTCAAGAGGAAATCATGTAACACACACTAACCTTATGTTTTATTTTAAATCAACTACTATATAAGTACTCTATGAAATTATTCATTTATACCTTTAAAAAATGAATCCAAAAACACAGAAGTACCACTAAAACTTGTGTGGTATATTACAAATTGTATTTATTTCTCAACCACAACTCACTTCAAGATCGGAAGTGGGGCAGAGGGATAGGAGAGACCTACTTTGGAAAAGAATCTTTTATTCTCACATTTGTTTACAGCTAAGGTAGAGGACAGTGAAGAATGCCACGGAAAGCATTCTGACAATGTTTCCAAACTTCCTTCTGTGGCTTCTTCCCTCACACAAGAACTAGTTAGTCCTGACTCTGGGTCCTCAGCCGTCACACAGGGAAATAATTATAGAAAGAATACAGATACATCCCCCAAATCTCCTATCACTTAGTACTCCAAATAGCTTAACTAAAGGACCCGGCTTAAAAGTCAGAACCAGTCTCAAAACTAAAGTCATGTGAAATACAACACAAAAAAAGCAACATTTGAGGAGCCTGCTTCCTAAGTCAACCAGTCTGGCTAGTTCTAGGGAGACGCTACCAGTACTTCCTGGAGCATATAGCCCCTGATCCCAGAAAACTTTCTAAGTAAAGCATGCGACTCACTGAAAAGGTCTATGCAAAACTTTAGCCTGGCCAGTAACATAAACCAATCTTACCTCCTCAGGCAGGAAGCCGGCAGACCTGCAAGTCCTTTGCACATTTTGTTTAACTGTGGGATTCGGAGCGAAGAGACAAAGGCAGCGGGAGGAGCAGTAGTTTCTATTTTGAGCCCAGTTGCTTCTGCTCTGCAAAGAAGCTGTCAGAATCCTCTGAGCCTCTGGCTCTCAAGCCTGTAGGGGTCTCTTTTATAGCCCAGCCACGCGCCCGGCAGCCAATCAGATGGCAGGTCTGCAGGCTCGGCTCGCTGCCGCGTTCTGCCTCTCTAGCCCTCAGAAAGGGCGGGGGAAGAAACAACTGACGCATCAGGGATGCAAACGGACCCAGCGGAGAGAAGCCGGTCACAAAGTAGACATATAGAAAATGAGGCTTTGCTTAACGTTTCTACCAACGTGTGAAGTTCTGCGTTTGTAGGAAAGGAAATATAGAATCCACGGTGCTGAAAAATATGGGACTTATTCATTGGCTTGTAAGACCAGTGTCTAAGGATCTTGCCTCCCAGAAAGAAAAGAGAGAGAGAGAGAGAGAGAGAGAGAGAGAGAGAGAGAGAGAGAGATTGGGTTAGAAATAAATTCTGGGTGATGTGAGGCAGAGTTGATACTAAGATCGTGGTCTTTAGGTAGTGGCTTGATGAAATAGTCTTGGCAGACAGCTATATGGCCGGCAGCATAGCAAAAACAGTCAATGGACGTTAAATCCAGTATGACTGCAATCAACTTGACTTTGAGACATTCCCCACATAGGTTTCTGAGCACAAAATTCACCCCGGCTTTGGCTTTCTCTCCTTAAGAAACCTAAAAGAACAGCTGAAGACCAACATAAGGGGTGGATGAACACATGAGACCAATTCCAACTGCAGCTGAGTTTCTATCGTATGTAATGCTAAGTCTTTATTATCCAAAAAAGAAAAAGAGGAGAGGAGAGGGGGGGAGGGGAGAATATCCAGCAGGCAAAAAAGATGTGTAGTTTTCCTTGCATATTAGCAGTCTGTGGAGACTGTGGAAGAGCAGTCATCTCTGCTGTTGCTCTGAGTTTCCGAGAATTTTTCACATTCAGTATCATGGACTGAATTCTTTAGGCTCATGAAAGAACTTCACATCTTGTAATCACGGTTGAAATACCCAGATAGGCACTACAAAGGGACTGTGTTCACACTGGGGAGTTGTGACTGGAAGGGAGAGGTTTACTTCAGTGTCTGACCACAACAGCTTTCATCTTAAAATCACACAGATGCCTGGTCGTAATGCAGTGACCTGGAATTTCCACACAAAGACATCACTGCTTTTCAGTCTTTTGGGCTGAAAGCAAGTTTTTTTTTTTTTTTTTTTAAAAAGTGTCAGATGATTTGCACAAAGAAAGAGAGGTACCAATACCTTTCTTTAGAGATGGGTTTTTCTCAGAGGTACCAAGAATATAGAAGGGGAAATAGAAACCTGTAATGTTCGACTATGCTCTGGACCAGGAAAGCTGTTGCCCCAAACATCCACCCCCTTTATCATACACCTCTTCCTTGGCTAGCTGAGTATGGAGATAGCAAACAAACGTAAAAGAGGGGACTAGGCACGTCAGCAGGGAAAGTCCGCAGCTCTCTCCCATAAAGACTAAAAAAAAAACACCTATTAAATCAGGCACTGTAAACCTCTCCTTGCTTCTAACATGAAACCTAGGAAAGATGATAGCTGTCCTTGGTGGTGGAGTGGGAGGGATCACAGTGCAGGATGAAGTGAGAGAGACCTTGGACTAGAGGTACAGGCAGAATTTGCATTAAAGGAGATCAACTGAAAGGGAGAGACTGTTACTCCACAGAGAAGTAGAGCGTTCTTTGCTTACCTGAGCACCTAAGACAAGGATCACTCAGACAATCTGATTTTAGGAACATCAGCAGAAGACTCAAAAAGATGTACTGATGCTTGAAAAAAAAATCCAGAGTAAGAACATTTTATCTTGGATCTAGAAGGAAAGAGGTGTGGCATCAGTTATAAGTGAGCTAAATGGACTTTCAAAACCACTCAGGCTGTTCCCTCATTTCATCCAAAGATAAATAGAATTCCAGAGATGGAAAGCAAGCTTTCCAAGGACACAGAGTTTTCTGTTAACTGGACAGGATGTAGACCCAGGCTTCTTGACACTGGGATGTGTAGATTGTCCACTGAGTTGTCCTGTCTGTCATTTAACGCTCTTATCAAAGGAGATATGCTGTGTACATAGAGATATTTCTAAACTGTAAAGTGCTTGGCAAATATTTTTTATTGTCAGAATATACATAGCAGATAGTAAAGCTCAGTATTAATTAATTTCATACATGTCAGTCAAGGTCTCTCTCTCTCTCTCTCTCTCTCTCTCTCTCTCTCTCTCTCTCTCT